CTTACCACCTATTCTTTTTTTAAATCTACATTTGGAATGCGTTAAATTTTGTCCTGCGTGGTACATGCCAGGATCTAGTATATCGTCGGCCGTATCCGCAAGCGAGGGCTAGCCCTTCCAAGGCCGCCGCATATCCGTGACAGGCATTTCGCGACAACCTTGCGACTCTAATTGTCTGCTTTAAACAAGGGCTCTTATTACGAGGCTCAATCACATCTTAAATAAAACATTTCTAACTTAAACGCTCTGGGCTGCGGCTCTGTTAAGGATTATATCGCTATTAGAAAACGACGGTTTTTAGCCTCCTTAATCTGTAATAAGCAATATTTAAATGGTTAAAAATTTGTTTGTTTAAACGCAGTAATCTCAGAAACCACGACTTCCGTGTGACTCATGTAAATTGTGTATTACATTCATATTAAATCTTTAATTTTCATCTCTTAATAAACCATATTTTCAGCGAAGCATTAGTAAAAAATGTAACCGAAATGTATTTTCCTCCAAGATTCAAGATCTACTCACTACTGCAACGAAGCGGCGATAGGCAAAGATTTTTTAGTTCTTATATAAATATATTTTAACGGTATATAACTCTTATTATATAAGTAACTTAGTTTTCGCGTCTTGAATCATTAAAAGTGATATACTTGCGTGGACTATAGACAACACGATGCTAGTTTTCATTTAATTATTCGCGACAAGGATATACAAAGCACTAGATTATATTTCATACAAGTTAGACTTTATGCACGTGTTTTATCTAACAAGATTTCAGTTCATTTTTAGGCCAATCAGATGTGATAAGATACAATGCGCATTCAACTATCTAATCTTATGCAACGCAAACATGATTTTTGGAATGGTAATTTTATGTAATATTTATATGAATGATATTATTCATACTAAGCCTACATCTTAGCTAATGCACGTAAAATTCTTTCCTAAATTATTTTGTACTTATTTCCTTAATCCTTAGTTTAGACACTCTATCAAACCTTGGCTTAAAGGGCGTCTAAACAGCAATGTTTAGTTTTGTTTGTGTCTGTTAAACATTTTTCATCAAAATATCATAAATAATATTACTTAGTTAGAAACCCTTTGAGTTGCTTTTCTAAGTTTTAAAAAAAAGTATTGATCCATTTTGTTGAATTTAACAGTAACATATTTTTTTACTTTAATTGTGCCATATGTGCAATAGACAGCTAAACCAACGCACTGCTTTATATGTTGTGCGTTCTTAATCCATAGATTCATAAACAAGAATTACCGAAAAATAGACTATAAACAGCGGTTGTCACCTTGACGAGCGGCCCACTTTTTAATCAACAATAACTTTCGTTTTCATTACATTAAGCCGAACCAAGGTTCCGTCGGGCCTTTTCCACTCCGGCGGTTTTTTGTTCTTTGCATTTAATAAATGTCATGTTGTTCCTGCTGTAAAACAATTTATCAAAGTTATTAAATTAAAGATTTTTTATCGCCTGATAAGTGGAATCACGTTAGTGTCCATAAACGCTTAATGGAAAACAAATTGTTATTTACAAGCACTTCTGATGATCTTTCTTGAAAAATAAAAATATTTTTTTAGGAACTTTGAATCTAGCTATTTTGTTTACCAGCTAAGGTTCTGTATTATACCACTTCTAACGATATATTTGTCACCTAAACTAGGTTAAACAAAGTTCTAGTAAGCACAAATTAAGTAAATATTTATGCAAATATAAAAACGAGAAATAAATGCAAGTAAACACATAATTATAATGCTATGATTGATGCGGGCAATTTGACGAGACAACTTTAAATGTTGAAAACATGAAAATTACTTCGCACCTCGTTTTATATACGTAAATGGTCATAATGTCGCATTTAAATTATTTAATGATCCAAATTGTGGGACGGTTGTGTAAAGTGACAGACAATTCTATGGTGTTACCTGTTTGTCGTGGTTATGTCACCTGGGAGTATTCGACGGCTAACTTGGCTAAGTTTGAAAGTTGTCACAAGACAGGAGAGTATTTATTAAATTAAATAAATAATTACTCATTACTTTGTGATAACATCCTAAAATATATTGTATGCATCTTACAAACTGTAGTGATCTTGTTTGGTATTATACTAAGTTAAGACCCATAGCGTACATACATACCCATTAAAATTTTTAATTGAAATACAATTCTTGAAATCCATCATGCATTTCTGAGTATTTATCTTATAGTCAATAAAATGTACCTATCCTAAAAATAAGACTAAATTAAAGTTACAATTACCACATCTCAAAAAAGGCGTAGATCAACAAAAAGAACAAACAAAAAACTGGCCGATTTCTCTCAACATGATTTTATTACTTTATTTGTTTTTAGGAACAATTTTTAAAAACGATTATTTGTACACTTATTACCAAAAAAACACAATTAAACCGAACTTTCAGTAACTTTTGTTAAAAAAATTGACATTCATAAAAACAATCCCTATAATTAAGTAATTAAGAAAAAATCTAGTCGAATGCTCCAAAATACGTAATTAACATCGGTATTATTGATAAGTTAATCAGTCAATCAGGAGGCTTCAGAACAAGTTGAGCAACAGGTATTAAGACACGCGGCAAGTAAGAAGTTCAAGGTTGAAGACGCGCTCACTCCATCTTCTTGATCACCTCTCTCTTGAATACACTCTTAATGTGTCCGACCTCCGTAGGTAATGGTTGAACCCGTAGCGTGGCGTTTGGGCCCATACCCCACGAGAGGACGGTTTTCACTTTTAGAGTCCTTATTACTATGACTTTATTTATTGTTATCGTATTTTGAATAAAACACTTTAAATGTTTAAAACGCGATGTATTTTAGATATAGTATTCAAAGTGTTGTATTTAAATGTGTGCTACTCGCGTAAACCACAGACAGTTATCGTATTTTATAAATATATATTATCAACATTAGTGAGACGTTATGTACACGAGCAACGAAGTCCTAGGAACTTACTAATACGAAATACTGTAACACTAGTCCGTAGATACATTTAGAATCGGCTAAAATGATTGTATTTTTTTTTACTTTAATCCATAAATCAACACAATCATATCGTATCAACGTAATCATTGCGAATATCAGAAACAACGGTACGATATATTTTACAGATTAACCGCGTATAAGTTAGGTGAGTGTAAATCCATTGTCGAAGTAGAACAAATTAAACTGACAAATAAGCCGGTCTTTTTATTTTATGGATCAGAATCGTACGGCATTAAAGTTGAATACGAATGACATCAACCGAATAAATTTTATTGTATTTACTTAATGTGTTTGTAAAATGTACAAAAGAACATACGCACGACTGTCTGGTTTAAAATATACTGGTATCTAAAATGGAGGAATAAATATTTTTTCACCTTAAAATAAATAAATTTATTGAAGAAATGTCTAAATTTTGCCACAAAATACGAGTCTTTTCTTGCCGTGGACATTACACAAGTTAAAATCTGAACAGCTTCATAACTAACACAATGCTTTGGTATCTAAATTCAAATTTCAAGATTTAGATCTAAATACTGCCTATAGTTTACGCGAGTAGTACACATTTAAATAAAACACTTTAACGGTTTTAAACGCGATATCTTAGGTAAACTTATTTGAAAATGATTTTTGGGCTGCTGCAATGTATCCGAAACGTCGGGCTGAAGTTATATTGAATTTAGATTTAGATCTATGTATTTTGTCGGTAGTTTAAATAAAACACTTTTTAACGGTAATAAGATATAATAATAATAAGTTAAATCTATTTCGCGTTTTAAACCGTAGAAATGTTTTATTTAAATGTGTACCACTTGGTAAGCTACATAATATAATGCTTGGTGGTTGTGAGACCTTTAAGTTTGGAGTTGATCGTAGCGCAAGTGTTTCGTTAGATGATGGCTACGTTTATTCTTCACTTAAGTCTACAGTAAGTATAAATACAATTATGCACGTGTATCGTAAACGTGAGTGAAATAACTTGCTCTCCCGTTAAGATTATCTGGCTATCAAATCCAAAAACAGACTTTTATCATGTCGATATTAACTCAGTAGTAGGTGTGAGAATACTGTTTGTGTTAAGAGTAATCGACATAATCCCTTGTCTCGTTGACTTCATGTAGAATTTTATTTATGTTTGTACTTGCGCAAAATAATGATAATGAAAAAAATAATTTTCTACTTTACACAATAGTATAATTAGCAAGGTTGTTTATCTCTCTCTTTATTTAATTTTATGTAATAACTACTACTGATGATTATACGCCTTAATTATTCGACTTAAATGTTAAATATCGTTTCAGATTAAAGTATTACTTTCCTGTTACTGGCCAACTATATTTTATCAAGGTGATACAAATCTAGTTTTTTATATGACTCGTTAATTCGCACCGACTAATAAAATTAATCATGCATAAAAAAAATGCATTCATTATTCAATTTCCTACAGAAATTCCACTGTAATTCCTTATTAATCAATTAATTGTACTGGCGTAGCCTACGTCATCGGTCCTGTTGCGTAGCTACAGTTACGTCACCCTCTACGACAACATCGTAGCAAATCGGAAAGCCGCTACGTCGCACAGAATCTGGAAGGTGGCAAGAGATGTGATTTCAACAGTTCGTTCCTTTTTTAATCATCAAATACGTACATTTGAAACGATAATAGAATAGAATCGTGTGTAAAACCACAATGCGTACTCCAGTATGCGAATAAAACTAAACGGTGCGATCGAGACGGGCACACTTCAGAACCGTGGGTGCGAAAGAGACAAAAGATGTAGCAACAAGTAGTGACGTCGCGACCCTTTCACTCGAGTCGCGTCGACCGGCGTTCAGTCAGTCGGGCAGTCCGTGCGACTCGGTCACAGCGTGAGAACGTCTCGCGCACAGTGTCCCAAAAGCAGAACCGCGAGTCAGTCGCTGAGAAATATAAATCCGGGACGTCGCACGTAAACGGCACTCCGTTGTGTTAGATCCCGTAGTTGTAGCACAATGGGAGTCATCAAAGTGAGTCCGGACACCGCGTCCCTCATATCCGCCTGCGAAATGCTCGACGACATGAAGGTGAGTCCCGAAAATCATGTGACATTCCCGTTCCGCGCGTGGGCAGGCGCCGTAGGAATCCCGAAATGCGCTTTTACGCTGCGAAATACAACTCGACGCGACGCCAAGAAAAGATTGGCAAAAGTGTCACTTCGACTCGGTCGCACTTGTGCTTGTAACGAATATCATATTCAATACGATAATCGCGTTCGGACTCGTAAAAACATTGAACGTTCGTAAAACCGGACAATGCGGCGTATAATGCCATTTCCTTTTGATTAACAATGCAATAAGTCGGCTATTCGAGGCGATTTGTCACGCTCGTTGGGTTTAGTTTAAAATGAAAGTTCTTACGACAGCGGGAGCTATCGGGACGATTTCTAGTCCGCGGCGAAATGAAAAGTGGACGGAAGCGGTGTCCTTATCAGCTGTTCGGCGATTGCCGCAACGAAGGTGGTACGTGAAGGCACGCGCAACCTTTGTCGGAATGCAGCCTAGTTGCTAATCGTGTCGCTTAGGTTTTCCACGGACAGGAAAATGCTCCGAAGCTATGTTTCAACGATTTACTGGATACGTGATTGACACGTGAAATATTGCGAAACGGAACGTGTCGGGAGTCGCGTTCGATCGACCGATACAAACAAATATTTACGTCGAAATAAATAACATTTTCGATGACACGGGCGGGACTTGAACCAGCATCTAGAGCGTTCCATGCTGCAGCTCTAACCAATTGAGCTATTAGCTTGTCATCATCGAATTTCAACTTTAACTCTTACATTTATCACATTAAAATGCTAGGACATATTTCACATTTATTTAGCTCTTAAATACGTAAAGACCATTACAATAAGTTATTGCGACATTTATGTCTTACTGTATTTACGGTTTTCATAAACAGAGCGGCGTTTTTATCTAATCAGGTGAAATTAAAAAAGTCTTATGTACTGCACAATATATTCAAATGGCTTTTCCACACTGATAACTAAGATAACGGCCTGATAATCTATCATTCGTCGCTTATCGTAATTAAATCTATATTTGGGAAAGATGGAAAATTCTGGAGTCAGCAATATGACTCAGTAACTGCGCAGATAACGCGTGAGTAGTAGACACTAGACAGTAGTGTGGCTCGGTTACTTCATGAAATGCAATGATTTCTTAACCGACCTTGACGTAATTTAATAACGCCCACATTCTTAGTTTTCTTTAATGACAATAAATTATATTTTTATAAAGACACTGTTACTAACTACTATGTTTATTAAATACTGTCTAAGTTTCCGAGTAGTAACATTTAAATAAAACACTTTAACGGTTTAAAACGCGATATATTATTAAACTTATTTGAAAATGATTCTTAACTTCGGCCCGACGTTTCGGATGCTTTGCAGCAGCCGTGGTCACGGGGAGACAGACGTGGTCTCCCCGTGACCACGGCTGCTGCAAAGCATCCGAAACGTCGGGCCGAAGTTAAAAATCATTTTCAAATAAGTTTAACTAATATATCGCGTTTTAAACCGTTAAAGTGTTTTATTTAAATACTATGTTTATTGTTGATTTACAAAGTAAATTCAAGTTCGGTCGACTTTGCCATTTTTTTAACAGTTAAAGTAACTATTTCTTATTGTCATGACGCCTACTTCAAAGGGCTTAAAAGACATAACATATTTTGACGTTATCTTACTTCTTATAGTGTAAAGGAATTTATAGCAAGTCTTTGTAGTAGGAAGTGATTGTCGCAAATCTTATACGACTAACTGCGTCATTACACCGATAAGCTTAAAATATTAGAGTTGCATACGTTTAAGTAATAAAGCTATGACGTTTTTATAGTTATAAACCACATGAAAACGTAATTGTTATTTTTTACTATAAAATAATGCTTTTTTAGTTGCGTTTCGGAGCTTTCATGAGTTTTGTGTTCCAAAAACAAACAATATCCATAATATCGCAATGTAGATGTTATCATTGTATTGATAATCGATTTTACAACGCTATTATTTTTGGAGGGCACTTTTAACTTGGTAAACAAACAAATAGGACTTAGTACTTTTAGAACAATCGCAAAAAAGTATAAAATAATTATAATCTAAAATTAATGTCACTATGAGGGTCAGTTAAGTAACATTTTATTGATGAAGAATCATTATATTATACACTTCTATTCTATCGAGGCAAACTGCAAACGGACTCTATTAATTAAAAAGTTTTCGGTTGTATTTTAATGAGCGGCGCTCATTAAAATACAACCGAAAAATAATATCTCGAGTTTATCGCTCCCGTTACTAAATTTAGATTGTTACATGGTTATGGCATGCGATAAGTGAAAATGTAACTTTATGATTTTAATTGTTCGACAGAAAACTACTTATTTATTTTTATGATGGAGAAGGACAGAAAAGGACGAGGTTCACTTGATGGAAGGTGAAATATCCCAGCCATATAACATCTAAACAAAATGCGATCCAACTTGGCCATTCATCTGTTGACGGCAGTTCGTGGCCCGAACGAAATTGCGATATTCCTACCACCCATCCAGATTTCCAGACATAGTCTAACATGTATTTGAAACAAATATAAATTGATTGAGAAGCATGTTGGACCCGGTTGGGATCCATCCCACGACCTGATTGTTAGTCATGCATGGCTAATATTAAACAAATTAATCCCTTGTTTTCCCTGGATTGAGACTGGACAAATTATACTCAACGCGTTGCGTTGTCATGCGGGGCTGATAACAGAGTAACAGAATAGTATAATGAGAAAATTCCAGTTGCATTTAAATCAAATCTCTTCGAAACGCGACATATATGGATTGTACGAAATGCTCGAATTCCGAACGGCACGCGACGTCACGCAAGAACAGCGCGACCAGCGCTCCTATTAATTTATTCGCAAACTAATAACGAGATTACGGGACAAATCTGACTTCGCGCGGTGAAAGCTGGCTACTGGAGCACTGTTCATTCCTTCGCATCCACGTAACGGATAGAAGTTGCGATTGTTCAACCGTTACGACTAATTTTCGAACGCACTTTTTCATTTAGTGTTAGTCCATCACTTCGATAATTTCGCGTAACTCTCTATCAATCAAATCAAAGAAACAACAAACAGATTTATGATATTATAACTTTACTATTATTACAGACACTGAAACCTTATTTACCTATTTGCTATATTAGATTTATTATATACAAGAATGTTTTCACAAAGTGCGAATATAATTATACAAATCAAATAATATAAGTGTTTGCTGCTTTATCACTGCGTCATTACATATCTATATTGTTTACTTTTACTTATTTTCCTTATCGAATCAATGATTTATAGCTCTTGAACAATTAAAAGTTTGCACAGTTGTAGACCGATTAACAATTACAGTAGTTTCAGCAGGTGTTGCATCGCGAACTTCTATTCAAACTTCACTTATATATTGCAGTTGTAGATAAATATAGAATAATATGGTATAAAATACAAAAGTAGACGTAATTTTGAGAAAACCTACGTATGAAATTGAATTAGTAAGTCACCTTAATTATTTGCGAATATACTTTAAAATGTGCTCGTTCGCAAACAATAAGATGTTGTCCGTTTGTTGTAATGGCTTCATAGGATAAGTATGGCCAGTACTTAATTAATATAGTCGAGTACTCGATATTTATAGTAAACAAGACAAAATCTTTTTGGGATAGTTACAAAACATCTTGTAGGAACAAATTTTATTTAACCCCGGAAAACAAGACTACACGGACGAAATACGAAAAATTAATTGCAAGGTATTTAGTTTCACGAAGATCTTCGCATACAATATTTTTTATTTAACCTTTGTCACACAAAATCCATCTTACGTTTAAACGTTATGGAACGCTATCACGAAGGATTTAATAAAACTTATTTTTATCGCGTAACGGTCATTATTCATTTCATTTAGCCGGTTTAATAAAATGAACAAACCGAATGCACGCGATTTTAAAACGTGAGTTTATATATTATTTATAATGTGTATGCATAGCTTATCGGAAAAGTAACGATTTGAATATCGATGTTTTTATAAGCTGCAAAATATATAACTGTTCTAATAGTCATTCAGCAAAGACTAATGCAGATTTTAAAGATACAATTTTGCAAAACAGATTGTGCTGATGCAACGCGACGTAAACAAAAATAGTTATGTGTTATATTAGCGATGATATTGGGTAATATTAGAAAAAGTGAGTTCAAATACGTACCGCGCTTGTCGTCGATTTTGTTCAATCTATAATAGATTTCTAATGTAATAACGATTAAAAATTAAGCCTAGAACCGTACGCAACATTGAAAAAGAAGGTACATAAATTTAAGTCCTCTTTCAAGGAGCGATTAGACGGCGGAAAATCTTCAAAGAGCTAACAGTTCCATGTCTGTGGTTCTCTTACAGATTTTATTAACAGTCAAATGTTTTAACTTGATTCTATTCTACTAAAACTTTACAACGGAGCAAGTGAGAGCTGTCGCAATTAACACAGATGATATTAGTATGGATATTCCTCGTGCAAATCACAAAATAATAATTCGAGCTGTGGAATTCGAGAGGTACGGTTGTATGTCGTGATTGGTGCATCCTTGTAGCTCTCTCTAAGCGTGCAAGAGGATGATACCGAATAACTAGGTCGATTTTATCAAGGTCGCGCGAAGAATGTAGTCTCTACCTTGTCGGACTAAGTCGAATGTTGTAAGCAACAGTGACGTACAACAACTATATACAATAAGGTATTTAACATTGTTTGACACGGACAAATGTTTTGTTAAAAGTTTGTTTTTATTATGGCTTTTAGTCTAAATGCCAATAATTTAACTACATATATATCACCAAGAGTCCTTAAGTGTTTTAATACTATATATGACTTTATCTATTTTCCCGATCGATTTAGACTTTTACTATCAACATCAATCCTAAACCCAATTCTTCAAAAGTAGGATACAATTAATTTCCATTGGTCATATCCATATTATATCGTCTATATGTCAAATGTGAAAAA